TCTTCGGAACAATAAAGCCGAATCCGACTTGAACCTCACTCCATCACGTGTAACACTAACACCCAAACCAGACTAGCGTAGTAGCTCTGCATCGGCCCGAGCAGTCAATCTTATCATCACTTGTTACTGCTGTAACTTGGGCAGTTCTGCTATCTCCTCATCCAACCTCACGAACCAGAGATCCCATATAACACAACCCAACGGGGGAGGGAAAATAATTACTACAAAAATGACCACCTCAATCCGCCCCTCCACCCCCACCCGCACCACCACCCTCCTCACCAACCTCGCAACTGTAACAGCCCGCATCAACACCGCAACCACCTCATCTCCAAAAACCACCCCACCCCGTCTGGTCGCCGTCTCCAAACTCAAACCCGCCAGTGACATCCTCACCCTCCACACCACCACCAACCCACCCACACATCAAACCCACTTTGGCGAAAACTACCTCCAAGAACTCCAAGAGAAAGCCCGTCTTCTCCCCACCACCATAAAATGGCACTTCATCGGCGGCCTGCAGAGCAATAAATGCGTGACTCTGGCGCGGGATACCCCCGCGCTCTGGGCCGTCGAGAGCGTAGATAGTACCAAGAAGGCGTCGTTGTTGGATAAAGGGTGGGGAGAGAGGAGTGCTGAGGTGCGGGAGACGAATCATGAGGAGAGGTTGAGGGTGTTTGTGCAGGTGAATAGCTCCGGGGAGGAGAATAAGAGTGGGGTTGAGCCGGGCGATGGCGCGCTGGAATTGTGTCGCTTTATTAGGGATAAGTGTCCCCGGTTGCGGCTGCAGGGGGTTATGACCATTGGGGCGATTGCCAGGTCGAAGGCTACCACGCCGGAGAATGAGAATGAGGATTTTGTGTGTCTGAGGGAGACCAGGGATCGTGTGGTCAAGGAGTTGGGCTTGCTGGGGGAGGAGGCCAAGTTGGAGTTGAGTATGGGTATGAGTGAGGATTTCGAGGGCGCTATTGCTCTGGGTAGTGATGAAGTTCGCGTTGGGACGACTATCTTTGGGGATAGGCCGCCCAAGGATCAGGCCAGGGTGGTTTGAGTCCATTAAAAGGTGTTACGATTCACGACGTGTTCTATATGCATCATGCATTCTTTAGGGGTGAAAAGAGATGGGAGAGGAAGGGAAACCAAGACAGTAACTTCGACTGCTGCCTGTACATTAAGATGAAAGAAGAGAACAAGCGTCCCGCATGTCCCAGGTATATATGTGCGATATCAATAATAAATACACTCCCCCGCCAACTGCTACCCGGCGGAGTACGAAGAATCAAACATGCAGCATGACACACCCCGAGCATCATCGCCCACTGTCTCCTCGCTCTCCCTGTGACAGCTTCTGCTCCATCTGCTTGGCCAATGCCTGCGGCACCGATTCCTGTGTCGCGCGGATAGTGATTCGGTACATCTAAGTCATATAGTCAGCTCACTCGTTGCAGTCCTCTACGGGGTTAACATAGTGAAGGGAGCAAACTTACCGATCTCTCATAGTTGGGCTCCAGTCGCAGGAGACAGCCCGTCTTGCCCTCAGCGAACTGATACACTGCGCAGCCCACGATGTTCTTCGGATTCGGATCCACGTTGTCCAGGATCTTCCACCCAAAGCCTTCCACCACCCGTCGTGTGAACGACTCGCCAATTTCCTTGTGTCGTGCCGTAACGCCAAATGTTTTCTGCGCCTCCAGCGGGCCCCCACCAATCTGCCGCCAGCGCTTGAAGAAATCTTCTGCCGACAACGCCGATGGCTCCATGTATCGGTGCATGAGAATGGGCAGCTGTAACGTGTATGCCTGGAGCGCTCCCGCAAGATATGAAATGCGGATTGTCGGCGCTTCCGTGAACGGCCCGCGCCCCTCGACCAAGAACGTCTGCTGCGTCTGACCCACGGCAGGCACCGATGGATCGGGAAGACTCTTCGTGTCAATCTTTAGGTTTGGTGCGGCCGGGTTATCCACCGTCGTCGTGAGGGACCCGATAGAGTAGGACGATTTATTAGAGATGTAGATCTTCACCACACCCATATGGCCCCGGTACTCGGAACGCAGGCCAACTTGAATTTGCGCATCCTCGAACAGCACACCTTCATCTCCAAAGTAGAGTCGGTTGTACCCGATATCCCAGTCCGGCGTGAGATGAGCCGCACTGGCCATGTTGGGCGGCGGGCCTGATGGGGCGCTGAGATCCAGTCCTGCTAGGTCGCCCGATGCCCCCGACGTGGCTGTCGTGCCATTGGCCCCGGTCTTGTGGCCATTGACGATTGTGGTGAAGCTGCGCTTCAGTCCCGTGTTCTGCGCCATGAGCACCTCTTGTTTGTCGGCGTTGGCATCCTTGCCGCCCACCACCCACGTCTTCTTCTCTGTCGTGCCGGCTGTCTTCTGGTGCAACCGAGAGAGCAGAATCGAGGCGCGCTCTGAGAAGGGTGGCATCTCGTCGCACACCGTCCGCAGAAGGTCATCGGTGGGAAGCGTCGCCAGCGACAAATATTCAAAAGCACGCTGCTGCAATTCAGAATCGGGGGAGTGGCTATACAAACGGAATATGTGCAGAAGTTGAGGTTTGATCTCGGGGAATAGGTTGACAAATTTGACAAAGGAGGACAGAATCATCGCTCGTGTCGTGTCGGTGCTGGTGATCATCTTTGCTTGCAGCGCCAAGAACTGCTCAATAGGACTTGAGCCTTGATTGTCGGCGATCAGATGGCCGAATTCACCCAGAACATAGCATCCAATCTTCACCAAGCTCTCGTGACAATCAGTCTTCAGATATCCAAGCAAGTTGTGCGCTGCATAAGCCTGCAGCTCTTCGTTGTTAGTCACGATCTGGATTACTCGTTGCCACACTTCCTCGTTTACGTGATCACCAGCCAGCGACAAGAGCTTAAGGGTCATGTCAATGTACCACTGCGCGTCGGTGGCATATTTCTCGGTGAGAATAGCAACCTTCAGCACCATCTCCTCGCGGATGGCGTAGTCGGCCGTCTGAAGGTAACGCAGTAGCTCGTTCACAATCGGACCGGCGTTTGTGGTGTCGCACATACTGTAAACCAAATCCAGACCTTTGCGCCGAACACTGATATCGCGGTCCCGGAGCGATCCGAGAATGATATTCTGGTGCTTCTTGATAGGATCTAGAGTCTCGGCCCGAGCCGCGAAATGCGTCATGGCTTCCAACCCCAAGTACCGAACATTTGTTTCTCGCGACTGGATGTACTTTCCAAGACGTGTAGATATTTGCATCATAAGGCTGTGCTCAGTATCGAGATGGATGAGGAGATTGATCGCCTCGAAAAGGACGGCATTCTGGGCATTGTTCTGCTGGACATTCTTCGGTGCATCCATGGCCAAGTTCATGATTTGCTGTAGAGACTCACGGATAATCTCGCGAACATGGCTATCCTCTGTTCAGTTGTTTAGTGGTGCACATACAGCCGATAATGATACATGAAAGACATACCTGCTGGAGGATAGTACTGCAGCAACCGCAACAGCTTGACCTGAATCCAAGGACAAGGCACGCGGTAGTAAAGGTAGTCGGAGGCAATGTCGTTATCCACCACTATCCTTTTCAGGCGATGTGCGGCCTTGACGTAGCAACCTTTGTACTCATCGGGTTTATCCTGGGCCAATGCCATTACAAGCGAGGTGACCGAAAGCGTGACACCCATATCGGGGTCATCCATCAAGGAGATTATCCGTTCCGCCCAAGCATTCTGTACAATGTCGGGGAACTTGCGATACAGTCGAAGGAGGGTCAGCGCAGCCTTCTTCTTGACAAAGGCCTTGGAGGTACTAGATCCCAGTCAGTCAGACATGCAAAAGGCCGACGACAGAAGGGCCGTAGAGGCACTCACGGGCTAATCAGGAGCCGATGAACATCTGTCGAAAGCGCCTCGCCCATCTCTCTTCCGCCGACGTTCGCAACCGCGTGCAAGGCTAGACAGTTATTCAACTCATTGTGATCTAACAGATCCTTCCGTATACTGTTGACGACCAGGTGGAGCAGTTCATGCTGCTCGTGTAAAAAGAGAGTGACCGCCAGGTAACCGATCTGCTTCTCGGAGTATTTATTGGAGGAGATCAGGTTCACGGCCTCGAGGTGACCGAAGTCGACATCGTATCCTTGGATATAGACGTAGAGCAACTTGCAAACGTATTTCTTCTTCTGATAACCATTTAAACTGCCACCCTTGAACTTCTGCCGAATGTTGGCCAATTCCTTATTCACCCGCTTCTCTTCGAGCTCGCGCGCTCTTGCATTTCGCAAGTCGGCGATGAACTGAACCAAACCTCGCATAGACGACATGTTGACCAATATAGCATATGACGTGAGAACAATTAGGGATCAATTATTAGAGCGGAAAATCAAATCGAGAGCTGTCGGATTCGTCGTTCCTGAACTTCACGGAGTCATGTAAGCGCAAACACCACGCTAGTGAGATTCCTCCAAATGAGTGTATGTCATACAATCATGTCCAGTCCCTCCTTTCGGGATTGTTCGTTGTCAATTCCGCTTTAGTGGCTATGGTGCATGGAGCATGGCGCAAGGGCAATGGTGAGCCAAGTGGAGGAGCCGAGATCTGGAGGAGGGGGGGGGGGGTTGGCCTTTCGGAGAACGCGCGACAGGGGGGAGGGTGGGACGGACGGTCGAATCGCAAATCGAGGGGTAGGGGGGACTGTCCAGAGAGTTGAAAGAGCAGGAAAATGGTGAAAAGCCCGGTAGATGGCTCCGATCAGAAGGTCGAGCTCTCTGGGACAGGGACGAGCAGCTAGACGTGCAGGCAGTCCGGCAGCGGAAAGGAGGGAGAACGAGACCCTTTTGGCCCAGGAGGGAAGCTGCCTCAGCCACTTCCGCGGGCGATCCGGCGGAGATCGGGATAAATGTTGTTGCGCTGTGGCGGTGCGCCTGTCAACCCCATTTAAGGAATCGGAGCTGCAGTTTATCATCCTGTAGGAAAAGTGAAGACAATTAATTGTTTATTTGGGATTTCTATGTTGGATAATCGCTTGCTAAGCTTTATCAATTATATATGGCATTAAACTTCCAACACCTACCACCCACAAGTTGTATTTGTGCTCAGAGGAATGGTTCTACATCTATAGGAACCTTATCGGATTTCAGGGCACTGCAATCGGGTGGGGATACTGCAGCAGACACATCACCCCGCAGATTGATGAATCTCCCCTGCTACTTTTCATTTCCGCTCTTGGCTCAGATTGAAATGTCCTTTTGCATGTCGGTGAGAGTAATCGCCCTGCTACTGGTGACGAAGAAACCAGGATATCTTCGAGAAACAAGTCCTACACTCATCTCCCCACTGAATTCAGGTATTCAGACAGTCATCGCATTAGGTATAATTCTAAGACATAATTGGACTCTTCGTCACTGATCCTGCGTAACCTCCCGCTTCCCCATGAGAATAGCCTATGGCAATGCAAAATAACCCAGTGTCAAACACGCACGCAACCATGAATTCGTTTAATCTCAACCACCCGAAAACTCCGTAATGAACACCGATTACCCCAAAGAACATGCAATTTAGTAACACTCAAGAAGAGTTTGATCATGAACTTCCACACAAAGGTGTAGGAGTGGACTTTAAGCCCGAGTGGTGAAGTCAGTCTCGAGACCAACAGCAGCGTCAATGGCGCTGGCCTTCTCACAGGTGCAAGAAGCTAAGGTCTTTGTTAGCTCGGAATCCTCTCGGAACCAGACATTCTAAAACTTACTGGAAGATCTCTTGCCGCATGGGCAGGCGGCTCCCGTCACCGGGTGGTTCTCAGTTGCCGAACGTTCACAGGTACATTCTCCGGCAGGACGAGCTCCTGGAGATGATGTTAGCGATTGGTTCGCAGAAGCACCAGGCTGGATGCATAGATGTCTCAAGTCTGCGTAGACAGGGAGGAGATGACTTACTGCAGGAGCATCGGGCGCCGCTCACGGTGTTCTCGGTGGAAGCCTTGTTGCAGGTGCAGTGGAGGGCGTTCTGCTTGCCGCAGGAGCACTTGGCCTGAGCAGCGCAAACACAGCTGCCATCACCAGAGGTCTTGCAGCAGGTGGAGGAAGGGTGGACCATTTTGACTGGATATTGATTTGACTGGAGAAAGGTAAAGAGACGGAAGACCGTTTGTTGTAATATAGTAGTTCTTGATCGGTAGACCGAGGGAGCAAGGACTATGTATGACGTAATCAAGGACGGAGCGGAGACTAGTCAAGTAGTACGTAGTTGTAGTCTTCAAAGTAGCAATCTTTCTAAGACTTCACGAAGAACGTATTGTGATCGAAGAGAACGAAGAGTGTGTAATATAAAGAAGCGATTCAAGTGGATTTCCAAGGCAGAGAAAGATATCCGAATGATGTATTCTGAAGAAGCAAAAACGATGGGGTTGTAGCAGGGATTTATACTTGCCGCAGTCGAGTTCTGCTGAACATCGGATCGGGCGCGATTAGCAATGTCCGCGCTCTCATTGGCCCGGACGGGGGCGATCGCGGACTGCTGACCATCTCAGAGCATCAGACATTGCCTTTCGCCCTCTTCTGATTCGACAATGCCTCCCACATGGATCAATGCTCAGGCAAGACAGATCGCTTGCGTTTGTAATCCACGAGCGTGGACTGGTGGTGGCATGTTTGCTTACTGTCCAGTCCTTCTTCAATCTTGAGCGTTGTCATTGGTCGCCGCACAACTACTACTTTAGTATTACTTTAGTATGGTACAGAATGATATCACCCCATTGACACAGCATACTCACTTTGTCCTGGATCATTTGTTCAGGTACCCTCCGCCCTAGTAGGCAATAAATCACCTAGCCGGTGGATGTTCCAAACTCCTATCGAGGGTCGATCCGGGAACAAGCACCGACTGTTGGATCGGCGCGGGAGCTACAGTATATCTCCCGAGCAGTCAAAATGCCGTAGACTCTATGCGGCGCTTACTAAGACCTCAATTTAGGAAAAGGTCGAAAAGCATTAGCAAGGAAGACAGTCTTGGAGATTGCACCATTCGCCGGTCGTTGCCAGTAGCTTGTATAACCTTTAATAATTATCAACTAGAATATAATGTCCATGTACAGGTGTAAACCGACGGCAGCCTCCTTGGCCCCCCCAAATAAATAAACACAAGCTAGGTGGGCAGCAAGACCAGAGAAACAGAACCAGCAAAGGAATGCACGCAGCCCGCCTAGAAGAATTCAGAAACAAGAGAAGATCGGAGAGAAAACAGGCTGAAATCAGACGCCACTAATGACCCGCCCAAGAAAAGCTAGCTGATTTTGAAAGATACATGCATTTTTCCGCCTCCGAGATAATATGGAATGCAAGTGCAGAGGAAGCGGCCGAGAAAGAAAAGTCGGAAGAATGAGAAGGAGAAAAGAGATTAGGAGATGATAGTCAGGCTCCTGTAATGGGTGCAAAGCCAGGAGCCAAAAGGAATGTATGTAACCGCAGCCGATTAAATGAGGTTAGAGCTCCGTAAGAATTATGGGATGCACTGCGGTTGTTGAAGAATAATATGGGGCTCCCATTTCCACAGAAACCCTGCATTATAGGTAGTTTGCGTATTCGAAGGTTTGGCCGCCAAACTTGGCCCTGGCTGGGTCGATTAGCTGTGGAGGATGGTTCATTCGGTCTTCGGCGGAGGTCGTAACGGCCCCCTGAGTATCGGAAGGAAATGAAGCGGGAAGACTCATGCTGGAAGCATTGGCTTGCGAGTATGGCATCGCGTGGCTGATGCCGTATGAATGATGGTCGTATGAGTAGGACCGGTAGTCAGGCGCGTCTGAGACTGGCACGGATTGTAGGGCAGGCATCTGCCGTCCATGTTGCTGTAAATGAGAGTTTATTTCCATGCCACCATACCCCTTGGGAGCTGGCATGGCCAATGACGAATGATAGTTAGGTATTTGCTGGTCTGATGCCGGGGTTTGTCAGTTCACTGCTCATCATGGCTCTAGAGGGAAAAACGTACTGTGACTGTCCACATTATAGTGGATTGACTGATCGGGTGGACCCGTGGGTGATACGGAGCCCTCTAACGCCCGCTGGTGATCGTATCCAACGACCATGCCGTTAGCTGGGCGACCCAATGCGTAGTCTACCGGACGGCGACCATAAGCCATGCTGGGATGGCTCAATGGCTCCACTCCAGGCCTCGAAAAGCGCCCAGGGAAATTGAGTCCGCTATTGAAGGAGGACTCAGAAAAACTGCTCGATCTGGGAAATGGGAAAGCACTGCGATTATGTCTGTGGAGGTCTGACAGTGCTGGGCCTCCTCTCCCGGGCATGACTCCAGGTTGAGCATAACTTTCGAAATGCCTGTCTGCAGCCGCCGAGAAACCATTTGTTGTTGAAGCCGAGCTCAGAGGGGATATAACATAGTCATCATCATTTAGTCGGGGCAGGCCATCTGTGAGTAACATCTTGAAGGAGTTAGAAGCAGGATTACGTGCCAGAAGGGTTCGGGGAGACGCAACTGGTGCCTCTGCTGGTGTTTTATGGTCGAACGGAGTGCGTAGCACTTGAGTGGTATCGAAATCGTCGGGCAACGCTCGAGATTTCAGGATACGCTCTCGGTCGTTGCTTGTGAGCCGCTTGAGTTTGGCTCGTCTGCCACATATGCGTTAGTGACCATGTACGAGTGGCTTCTGTAAATATGAGTTGTGGGTAGTACCTATTCTGGAACCAAACCTGGACTTGCCGTGGAGTCAAACCAGGGATCTCTTTCGACAGTCGCTCTCGATGGGCGGCATCGGGATGAGCCTGACGTGTGAATTCACTCATCAGAAATCGAGTTTGGTTGTGAGTAAGTCTACAAAGAATTGTTAGTTCAGTACATAGCCTCTGATGAGATCAACCATTTGCTTACCGAAAGCGCTTCATCTTTTTCTTTTCACTTTTCGAATCTGATGACTGTTTCTTGTCACCGCCTACTGACGATCCTGCCCCATCATCGGAGGAGAGCATGTCGGCGTCACCATCATCCTTCTCCTTTTCATGCTGTGCTGCAGCTTCCCTGTCCTTCTGCTCCGGCGTCGTCTGGGTTGTAACCTGAGGACTGGCTGTCTTTTGGGGCCTTGGGAGCTGAAGTTCGTCGTGACCGTGCTTCTCCACCTTCACACGTGAAGCATCGCCCTCTGTCTCTGTGTGCCGATTCTCACGATTGTCGACGGAAGCGGGCCCTGTAGAACGCTGCTGTACCGGGCTCGATACATTCGACGGAGCCGCAGCTGTGAAGGCATTCTCAGCCTTGAGCACAAGTGGTTGCATACCGGTGGTAGACGGCTTTGTTGGCTCGCCCTCCTTTTCCCACGACCCGGGCAGCCTGGACGGCAGGGCCCTCGGTCTTGACGATGCCTGCTCACTGTTCCAGGAAGCTGTCGACCAATGATTCGTTATGGCGGGCAAATGGGAAGTCGAAGGTGGCGACAACGAGGACAACCAGACACACGGTCCGCTGATTGACATGATAGAAGTAGAGTTTGCTGTCCCCAAGAGTGTCACAACGGGGCAAGTTTAGTGCAGGTAGGTCCAAAAGGACAGAAAGATCCGGTGCACTGCTGTATAAATCTGACTATGGATGGAAGCTGCGACCAGGATCGCAGCCAAGGGAGAGTAGGGTGGGTCTGCACGAGCAGTCGGGGCGCTTGCTGAAGAAGCGCAGGATCTCCGAGCCGTGGACCGCGAGATGAAAGACGGAGGGAGGCAGAGAATAAGAACCTGTTGGCCGGTCCTCTGCAGAAACTTAGGGAGTACGGAGTAAGGAGACAGAGAACAGATGGACACAAGGCAGGGTTGGCTGTGCTGATAGTAGTGAGTTTTGTGGACAAGCCGCAACAGATGAACCACGCTGCTCTCCTACTTTAGACTGTTCCCCTTGACTTGCCCCCGAAACGATAAAGGAGAATCTCGGCCACCGCTGGGACCAACGGCGAACGGCAAGAAATGAAGGTCGATCCCTTTGCTGGGTCCTAGGATACGGCCGGGGCGGGGGGTGGGAAACACTACCGGACGGTGGGTAGAAGGTTATAGAGCAGATTAACCCGTGCTTAGCCCAAGCCGGAAACAAAAGCACGATCACGGTAGTGGAAATAACGCAGGGCGTTAGACAAACGAAAGGCCTTGGTCACGGCCAACCAGAGATCCACTTTCAAGTTGGCCACCAAAAGTAAACAGCACCACAACCACCGTCGTCGTCGTCTTCGGGCTAAAGATGCAACACCAAGGGCACACGACGGAAGGGTTCGTCGGTGGACGAGTGTCGGACCTCTGAAGGAACGAATGGCCTTCAGTCCTGGATACAGGGAGTATTGGCCAACGATAGGCAGATGCTTGATGCTAACGCGGAGGAACAAACTCAAAAAAAAAAAGAGTGTGTGGGAAAATTGGGGAAATGAAAAATAAAAATAAAAAATAAAATAAAACGAATGGAGAGAAATAAGATAAAGGAACGAGCGTCAGAAAACAGGAAATTGGATTGAACGGGCCACAGCTTAGATGTTCGGTACACGAAGATCTGGCACCATACTACAAGTGTCAACCCAACTTAATTCCCCAGAGGTAGGTAGGTGTACATCAGGCTCAGAGCCAAAAGAGAGAGTGAGAGTGAGAGAGAAAGAGAAGCGATGGAAATGATGGAAAAGAAGGGAACGGGGATCGGAGATGTTTCCAGGTTGGACCAGCTCCCAGTCCAATGCCCTAGTAGATCGCAGGACGACTAGTAGTGTACCCCTCTGGGCTAGACAGCAGAACCAGCAGTAGTAGGCCCGGATGTTGTCATCGGACGTACTGGCCAACGAAGGTGCTTATGATCACCACGCTTTTTTGAGAGCAGCAGGTAGTCCGCAGCTTGAACATCACGGAGGGGGTGAGAAGACTATGAGTTGTGCGTTACTATTCGATAGGGGTTTGAACCACGGTTGCGCAGCCGCGTTCGATCTGATATGGAGGACAGACGGGAAGAGAAGGAAGAAAAAATGAGACAAAATGGGAGAATTAAAAAATAAAATTCAAAATCCAAAACAAAATAAAATAAAATTAAGGTGGAAGACGGGAAGAGATCGAGGATGGCATGTGCAGTGGGTATCATGGATGGAAAGACAGCAACATCACGGTACATCATTAAAGTAAAAGTGGCGAACTGATAATCCACAAGAGGCCAAACCGACTCGGGCAAACCTGAATAACAGCCCTGTACCCGGTAATTCAGTGACTAGACAAGAGGGCCGCCAGCTCGTGATCGTTCATGAGCGAGGTGCTTCTTCAGTCCAGGTAACGGGTAAATCTCTCATGCATGGAGTGGACGAAACAACCATCGACCGTTTCCAGTAATCTCCATCCGGCATACTCTATTGCTCGTAAATTTTCCGACGTGGAACCGGCAACCCCGTCCGCGGTCCATTGCATCCCACCGTGCGGGTCAGTGGAGGTCTGGGACGCTGAGATTTCCCTAGCTCGAAACCCGCAAACCAGCGTGTGCTTGTCAGCCAACCGCGGCCTCTCAAGGGGCAATACTGCATATTACAGAATACTAGACCCTGGTCGCCGGCCTGGAGCCTGTCCTGAGTCATCCGAGACAACCGTCCCTGCTACAGAAGCGGCGGCAGTAGGCACACCATGTGGGAGACTTAGTCTACCGACAGCACTAGTCGGGCGTTGGCTCCATAATCCGCCGGACACCGGTCATGGATCGAGGCAGACGGATTAGGTTCGGAGCCACTTAGCGAACTATCCGCCACCAGCCAGGGAAGACGTTCAGGTGATTTGTTGGAGATGCATGGGAGTCCGAGCTGACGGATGAGCCTTTGAGGAGCCAAGAAAGATAAACAGGGGTCAGGGATTTAAATTGAAAGGGGTGATGGGTTTGAACAACACAATTAAAGGTAATAAAGTCCAGGAACGACCCCCCTTCAACAGGGGCAAAGGACGTAGGACTGGCGCGAAGTGGCTATGGTGGAGGCCGGCAGCCATGGAATGATAGCAGCTCCCTTCTTGGGACCGATTTGCACCATCCTGGATAGCGTAGCTGTCACTCATCCTAGGTGCCGACATGGATCGGACAGATGATGATTATAGTAGTAGTAATAGTGGCATGCCTGTACGGAGAGTTGCTACTGAGGTCAGGAAGTGCATTTCCGTCGGTCCCACTGCGCCAAACGGACGGGCAGGACGGAGTACCGACGAAGTACAAAGATCGTGTATATGGTACGTGGAGTTGTCGAAAGAATGACTATCTTGGGTTGGCAGTCCAAGGACTGGCAAATGGGGCTGACCTGGTTCGACAACCTTTTTAACCCAAGGAAGCTTAGACAGGGAAGAGAGGGGGGAGGGGTAGGGGAGAGAGGTGTTGTTGGGTGGGTGAATGGATGGATGAAAAGGATAGGCAGGGTTTGCGGAGAAACCGATGAATGTTGTCTCCGAGAATTCGAACCTCTCGCGGCCGAAGCAGAAGCGGTACGGCGAATTGCAGTCGCGCCGTGGTGGTTAGCGCCAGTGGACTGGCTAGAAACTAGCGTGTCTGTTAGGATCCTGAGGAACGAGGCTGGAATGCACCGGAACGCCAGTCAGGGCCACCAGACGGACCTTGCACCAGGCGAGCTGAACGGGCTTTGAACCGAGCGTGACGCTAAAAGCCTTGCAGTCAACGGTTGTCGACCATGGCGGATTTCATGTGCCCTCTCCACCGGACAGAAGAAAAGAGGGGTGGAAATTATGGGAAAGAAACGGACGGATTGGAAGTGGAAAGCCCTCCTGCTCCACTTCAGACGCTTGTATGGAACAACTCGGGTGATATTCGGCAAGGAAAATAAAAAGAAAAGTTGGAGAGAGGAAGATATAGAAAGTACTTACCCAACTGTGACTTACTTTTAGGAACAGAAGGTAGTGAGTGACGCGGGGGGGGTCACAGAGTAGCATCTATACAGATGATCCGAGCGGGGGGTGGGCGATGGAAGACCAAAGGTAGATGGGAGGAGAAGGAGGAAGAGGAAGTCAGGTCAGTTTTTTGGGTGGAAAAAGCAAGTGGTGAACTTTCACAGGCTGGCTGGGCTGCAGGGAAGTGGAAGGAGAAGGAGCGATGGGTGGGGTCACGAGCGAATGAGACGGCAGAAATGTGACCCGGGTACCTTGGTCTAACTGAAAGTAGATTGGTATAGATACTTAGTACTGGCTGTACTGGAGGTACCTGCTCTCCCAGTATTTACTACCAGAAAACACTAGAGTTACTGATAGGTGTTCAGTACCACAAGGTACCATACCATTTACTACGTTACTGCTACTACGTACTTACTTACTAATTGGCCTCGTTCCCAAGGAACCTACGATCTGTCACCTACGCAGCATAGTGAACCTTGTACCTATGGAAGGATAATAGGGGATTCAAGTATTCGTAATTTTTGCCTAAACTGGGTTAGAGAGCTATGACTATGTTTCTGTTTGATTCTGTGGGGAAAGGAGAAATTTGAAGAAATTGCAAAAGACAACAAAGTAATCGGAATAGTTAATTAGATGGAGGACGACAGGAAGACGGGAACATATTGCACTGGATACTAACTACGTAGTAATATGCTGATCAATTCCGGTAAAATTTCAGCAGTGATCCTTATCATGATGATGTCTGCCGCAGGTACGGAGGATACTCTCTTCCGATCAACTACAAGGAATTACCCAAAAAGAAAAACAAATACAATCCATCTAGCCAATAGGCCTCCCGATCGGAAGGGGATCAAAAGATTTGACGAAAGCGAATGAGGGGAAAAGAAAGAAGGAAAGAAAAGACAAAAAGGCACAACCGCAGGGACAGGGACAAGACGGCCATTGAACGATTCCGACAGGTGGAAATCCCCACTGAGGTGGGTCGACGGGGTGCGCAACCAAGTCCGTCTTACTAGCCTTAACTAACTAAACCACTTCCTACAAAGTACTTACTAAAGAGTAAGGATGGAGACATTCAGCAGGCGGTCTGCCGCCTTCATTGGCCCAAGGTAATTTCACCGATAATCAGACAATCAACAATGGATCGTTATTATCCAGATGAAGGGTGACTGGTGGAATTCCAACTGGAGTTGTACTGACTTGCTTCATGTCATTTCATTTCCAATTCCCTTCTGCAAGCGCCCTACTATCGGAGCCCTGCAGTGCCACCTGCCTCTAGTAGATAAGTGTTCACAAGATACTGAGTACTACTATCAGGACAAGCACAGCTTGGCGAACATTTCGTAGTGCTACACTTCAAAGTGCGCTCTTGAATATACCAACTTCAGTGGATTGAATGGCTAGCTGCCGAATGAGCATCAAAATTTCCAGTGATCTAAAAGTTACTACCACGCGGCAGAGTAGTAGGAGTAGTAGTTGTCTCGGCAGACTTCAGTGCGACATAATTGTTAGGTTATCCTGGTTTATGCCGATCAATAACGCACAGTTTATATGTGTTGACACGGTGGAGGGGATTTTATCTACAGTCCTGAGCA